CTCCTTAGGCAAAGGGCCCCATAGGTCATCCACTGGGGAAAAGAGGGGATAGTCCTAGAAGTCACAACTGCAGAAACAGGGTCGGGGTTAGAAATGAGGAGTTAATTAAAATCAGCCTTCGAAGATCATCAGGCTACCTTATTTTCATGTGCATTATTCATATGTTTTAGTAGTTCTCAGTGCAATGTGCTTCGTGATATATTAGATATTCAATGTAGTTGTTTTCAGGTTATTATGCAATATTCTTATTATGATTCATGAAAATATTCCATTAAATTGCTCATATAATTACTGTGCTTAATCTACAACATACTTTAGTTAATGTTGCATAGAATTCTGATTTAACCAATTAGATTTGATAAGTATAACTTAACTGCAAATACTTCCTATGATGAACAGGTCCAAAATAATTATTGAGAGCTAAGGTAGCAGTCAACTCTAACTAAAACTAACAAATTTCCTGTTAAGAACAGCACATAATAATTTCAACTATAATTTTATCATTTAGAAAGCTAAATTATAAGGAGTAGCTTGTTCTATTTCTATTAGTAGCCTGTTAAAAAATTTGATTGGGCATGTGAAAACTCAAAAAATATGTTTCATATACCTCAGAATGTAACTCTGGTTGGAAATAGGTTTATTGCAGATGTAATTAGTTAGAATGATGCCATAGTGAAGTAAGGTGGGACCCTGATCCAGCAAAACTGCTACCTTTATAAGAAGCTGGCTATATAAAGACTGAGACATAATGCCATTGAAGACCAGGCAGAAATTGGAGTTATGCAATGGCAAGTGAAGAAATACCAAAGATTTCTGACAAAGCACCAGAAGCTAGAAAGAGGCAGAGAAGGATTCCTCTAAACATTTCAGAAGGAGCATGGCTCTGCTGCCATTTTGATATTGGACTTCTAGTCTGCAAAACTCTGTGACAATAGATTCCTCTTGTTTTAAGCTACCCAATTCGTGGTCCTTTATTTGACAGCTGTAAGAAACTGAACCCTTGATAAATCTGATTAAGTTGAGAATTAAAGCTCAATATAGCCAGAATCCATGAAATTACTTTTATAATAGTGAGGGGAAACATCTTGCTAAACTATTTTTAAAAATGCATGTACTATTTTGAGTTGAAGAAAATTTTATATTCTTAAGTATTGACATAAACATAACACTTCTGATCCTCACACACAGCACCTAGAAGAGTGCCTCAAACACAAATCATCCCACAGTACATTTTGTGGCTTAGTTTAAAAAGATTAAAAAATGAAAATATCCTATAAATATTAAAATGCCCAATTATAGAACTTGAGCCATAAAATGTATATATTCAGTGCTACTGAAATATGAGTGTAATCATTGAAAAGAATTTGCATGAGGTTCATGAAGGTGAAAATTTTATCTCAAATAATAAACTATATTCCATGAAGTTTGTATATTATTCAGATACTATATTTTGTTACCCTTATTTTGATTTTGAAAAAAAATAAAAAACACTCTTAGCACCTATGCTATGGGATAGGGAAGGACAAATAAAATAAATTTTAGTCCTGGGGGTAGGAAAGATGGTGGAATGAGACAGACATCATTACCCTAGGTACATATATGATTGCATGAATGTTGTGTCCCTACTTCGGGTACAATCAGAGAAATCAAAAGTTGTGCTCCATTTGTGTGCCACGAATCAAAGGGCATTCTGCTGTCATGTATAACTGATTAGAATAAATAAATAAATAAAATTTAAAAAACAATAGGGTTTAATAAGGATGGAGGTGAGTAATGTACTGACAAAAGAATTTGGAGAGTTATCTATAAATTCTTTGACTTTTTGCACCCTGAATACCCAAAATTTGACTTTTATTTGGTTGTCACAGGGGTGATGTTTGATGGAAAGTCATCAATAGACACCAGCAAAGAATCTGATATAGGTTGCTAACAAACCAGGAACTATGACATGCTTCTGGCCAAAGTGAAAAGTTTCCTGGCATTGAGGATCCATGAAAGTCACCAGATGACACCAGCTGGTTGATATGCATCTTGTCACATCCTTTGAGAAATAGCATCTTTCCATTCTTGGGAATTTTTAAAAGCCTCCAGCCCTCTGATTTTTGTGGACATTTTGACTTGCCTAGTCTACTGGCAAAAATAAGTAATATAGTACCCACTACCTCCTGACCATTTCTGAATGCATATTACTAGATGGGGTCAAGTGAAGTTTAAATTCTCAGGTGTACTGTTCTTTGGCAGGACCAAGCTTCTGAGATCCATTTCTGCAAATATATCACTGTTACTACAAAATAAATAATAAATAAATTAGGTTGGCAAAACGTAGACAAACTAAATATTTTCTGATTGTTTATAATATTTTGGTTTTTTTGCTAGACACTCCTGTACAATCTCATTTAATATTAAAAAAATTTAATTTTGGTATTATTTTTATAGAAACAATGTGTGTATATTTTACAAACATCAAAAAGATAGTTTGGTGAGTAATTAGAAATTTATTTTTCTAAAATTATCATTTTTCTTTAAAAGGGATATGCTCTTTAGTATGTATATTTCCTAATTGAAAGGCTTATGTTAAAATAATAGTTCTCCAGTCTATCTCTTCTCACTCTCAATTCTCTTTCATTAGGCCCGACATTTTTGATCTTTTTAGTTCTTTCCTTTCACATTTACTTCCTTATTTCTAAGCTACATTATTATACAGATATTTCTTGATTTTTCAGCTTTTGAGATTGATTTCCTTCCATGGAAGACAAAGATTTAGCTCTCCTATATTACCTCCTGTCACATGCACTTCATTCTTCCTATCTTTCCTGTACATTTATAACATTATTTTGACTATGTAAGTATTATTTATAGCTAAGATACATAGCATTACTAGGATTCCATATCTTCTCATATATAATTCTTTGTTTTCACCAGTTAAAAACATTTCTTTTGTTTGCTTGGTTTTCTGTGCTTTTATTAGGAATTAATTGCTCAGTTCTCTATGTAAATAAAAATTGCCTCTGAGCATATTTTTCTCCCCATTTCACATTTTATCTTCATATTCACAAAAGTATTTAGTCCTCTTGCTTCTACTCCAAGTTGTTCTAGAAGTCTGACATGAAGTTGTCACTTGGCATCTTTTCCTTCACAATCATCTTGATATTTTTCCCCATTCCTTTCTCCTGTGCTGTATGCACCCTATTCTTGGATTCTACATCTTTCTCTTGGTTTGCTCTTTCTTTGTGATAGAGCATATCCTCTAGGAGTTTCCTGAGAAAGGTAAATAATAGAAGACCTCACTTATCCTACAGCCTACCTTCATTTTCCATCAATAGTTTCCTTGGGTTTAGATTTGTATGTATGATTTTTTCTCAGAACTCTGAAGGCATTTTTCTGTCATCATCAAGTTTTGGTGGTGCTTCAAGTTTGGTAGTGCTACTCAAGACCTCATTCCTTTGTCTGGGGTCTCTTTCTTCCCTCTGGAAGTTTTTAGGCCTATTCCTTTATCCTGGTGGTGTTCATGATACATCTTGGTCAGATAAATCCTCTAAGAGGATTTGCATTTGCTTTTACCAAATGCTTATGGGTATTACCATTCTGGGATTAATCTGCATTAAATTCTTGGCTAGAGGTTTATCAGACTATTTACAAAGTCTGAATCTGGGCCATGAACCTGTGTGAAGGCTGATATATGGTTCCAAATTCTCACTAGTGATTTCCCTTGACTCCACTCTTGCCAAAATTTGAAATGGTCAGTTTTCTCTGGGGTCCATTAAAAGGAATATGAGGTACCTTTCTGACATGGAAGGTACAACCCATAGTTCTGGTAGGAAAAGAAGAATATCGTATTCAAGTTCCCAGCTTGAAGTGCATTTGGGCTTTGTTCATTCCTCAAAATGCTGAATATCAAAGTTTGTACTCAGCTGGTTTGACAAATGCTTTTAGGATAACATTGTACCACTTACTTTTCTAGGTTTCTATCTTCACTCAATGCCTGGCCTGAGATTTCCTTGGTTTATAGTAGGATGATTGTAAGATGATTTAAAAAATTGTATTTTGTCCATAAATTTTAGTTATTTCCAGCAGTCCAGATACTGTTCCTGTCTTCTTCTTAGAAATGAAAGGCTAGGTTACCTTTCTTAGCCTCAATTTCCTTATTTGAAATAGGTATTGTGAGAAATGAAATTGTTAGTGTAAATATTCTAATTCTGTGTCTGACACCTCAATGAATATTTATTCTATTTTTTTGAGTGGCATTCTCAGAGTCTAAACATAAGTTGTTTTATTTTGCTGTGTTTTTATAGATATATGGTACACTAATACCAGGTGAAGAGAAAGCAAATAATCTAAGGTTTTGAAAGATTGTGTGTTTGGTATATTAAAAAATTTGTGTGTTCTTTCCATTCCAAAAATTTCTATTTCAAATGAGAACCAAGTAATTAAATATCATTAGTAAACTAGGTCTTATGAGGGCCTGACATTTATTGAAGGGAAAGCCATGATTTATTTGTACATTTCTTGAGACAAAGGAATTTGAAAACATTCCCTGTAATCAAGACTCTAAAGAGACATAAAATGGATGCTTTTTCTTTTGCAATACTGGGGATTGAACCCAGAGTCTCACACATGCTAAGCAAGTTCTCTATCACTGAGATATATTCTCCATCCTTTTTAAGAAAAATTTATTTTGAAACAGATCTTGCTAAGTTTCCCAGCTAGCCTTGAACTTGCAATCCTCCTGCCTCAGCCTCCTTAGTAGCTGGGATTACAAGTATGCACCACCATACCCAGCTTGATGCTTTTTCTTATAAGAAACTAGGCTATGCCCTAAATTTTACCAATTTGTATTATTACAAAGTATCAATTGCACTAACAAAGTCCTTTTAAAGTCCATAGATATGTTCATTCTAAAAGGTTGCCCTTCTCTTTAAAAACAATTTCCACCCAGTGCCAAGCAGCCTTTGGTGAAAATCAGCTCTCTCTTTGGTTGTTGACCTGACCTTGGAGCCCTATCAAGGACACTTTTTTAGCAGGTGCATTGTGATATTCTTCACAGCCAGCATGGTCTCTGTACAGGTAGGTCTGATGAGCATCTCTGGGAGTAAAAATCCAAAATGCCCAGTGTCACGTAGTTCAAAGGCAAATGCATAGGGTATTCCATTTTTGTAAGCCCAATCCATTGAGTTACCAGAACTTACATCTGAAAGTTTAAAAAAAGAAAAGAAAAGATTATCCTCACTAAAGAATCTGCATAATTTTCAAAATTATATATATCTTGCTTAGTAAGATATACTAAATCCTTCCAATGAAATACTATTTCTACAAGAATGACTTAACAGTAGTTCTTTGGCATCCAGCTACATGGAGCTTATAAATTATACCTGTTATCAGCTTTGAAGATCTAACCTGAGTATTAATGCTATGCCAGTATGATGACCTCAAAATTTCTCAACCTCAATTCCAATAATGTTTATCTTCACCTTCACTTTATTCACCAATAAAACCACCTACGCTGTGGACTTTAAAAAAATATCAAAATTAAAAAATATTTTTGTTCTTATCACTCAATTATTTTCCACTTCCAAGGTCTTGAATATTAAAATTCTGTTCCTCTCTTTCATTTCTTCCACTTCCCTCTTTTTCCAGGCTTGCTGAACTTGTCCTTTGTCTTTACATAAGCTTATAGTTTCCAGATTCTCCCTGCCTTTCTTGTGGTTTCCATTCAGGGTCCATTTACTAGCTTTCTCACCAGACCCCTCAAATGCCTCCTTCCTGTCTTTTTTCTGCCTTTGTTTTGCTGTTGTTGAACTTCTGGCCCAGTTCTCCTGCTGTCACTCCAGGTAGGGCAGTAAGATGATTCATCTTTGATGAACAGGTATTTTATAAAATCATACTGCCTGATCACCAAAGTCGTCTTCTGCTCCCAGTGCTGCTCTGTGCTGTTTTTTCATAGTCCTGCACTTACTGGCACTCCCCATTCTCTTCTTGTCCCACCCATCACTTTACCACTGACCCCCATATTCTAGATGATGGCTCCATTGGCTCCTCTGTTGACCTCAGAGCCCTCTAAGCTTTCTCTTAGCTCAGAGAAAGTCATGCTAAATGTCTTTTACATGGGTCATCTCTTGATACCATTTATTATTGTTGTCTGTATAAAGGGAGGATCCCTTTGTTTCATTCACATTTTTCTTTCTCTTGCATCTGCGTCAACCCAAATAAATGCTCAAGGACCCCTTTCTTCTCATGATCCTGCTGTATACTTTTGGTTACCATCCTCTTTTTCTTCTTCTTCTTTTTTTTTGGTGCTTGATAACTTAAAAGAAAATCTATATATGTTGCTTCTAATCCTTATATCTTTCTTGATGGTTCTTGCTTCTATCCACCTATAAAACTTCATTTATTTTTTAAACTTTTATTTATTTTTATGTGGTGATGAGGATCAAACCCAGAGCCTCACACATTTAAGGCAGGCGTTCTACCCCTGAGCCACAACCCCAGCTCCCAAACTTTATTCTTGAAGGATGATCATGTCCACATGTTTATTCTCCTTTTTTGGTTTTTGTTTTCCCCTTAATATAGCTGACAATCCATCCTGGCATCCCTCTCCTTCTAGTTCCTATGACCTCACACATTCTACCTTTTTAGTATGGACTGGAAACACAGGCACTAAAGAGAAGACCACCAACCTGCACTGTGTCCAGTCCTACCACCTACCTTGTGATTACTCTGTGCCTCAGGTGCCTTTTAGAAAAAGGGAATGATGCTAATATCTGCTACTTAAGGTTGATGTGGTAATTAAATGAAATACTAAATCACTTGAAAGTGCTTATGAAATATTAGCTATTATTATATTACATCTTTACATCCCAGTGCCTAATATACAGTGTTTAGTCTAAGAGACTCTTCACTAATCATTTATTAAATTAAAAAATGTTTCATGGAAAAATATTCATATACTTTTTTCCTGAAATATATATGATTCAGTTTGCTATAACACTATTATTATTATCATCAAATTTCCAAAACATGTTAATTTACTCAAACAGCATTACATTTATGCTATTTTTCTCAGGACAAGTGAGGATGAAATCATTATGTGAAGATGACCACTAAATGGATCGGCTATTTCTCAAATTCCTTGTGCTTCTATCAAGAACAGAAGATAAACTGTGGCTTTAGTGTCCTCTGGTTAGAGTACATTGGAACTACAAACAGTAGTCATATTAGCCAAAGTCAGAGACAATATGTGCCAACAGTTACATCATGGTGATGTGACAGCCTCATTTCTATGGCAACAGATAGTTCTTGGTAGATATAACACTATGACTATGCCTTTATTCCAAGCTGAAAAGGTGAACTGTTAATAAGATTTTTTTTAAAAAAATTAATGTTTTAATTTTGTTATTATATGTATTATGTTGATATTAGTTGGTAATGTGAATTTTAAAAAATATTATTTTCCCCCTTTCAGGATAATGATTGGAAAACACTTATAAAATGATCTCAAAAAAATCTATTAATGCTTGTGTCATTGTTAGGACAAGCTTATTTGATAAGCAATGCTAATTGACAAACCAAGCTGTTGTTCTGAAGGCTGAAGAAACCGAGGGGCAAGATGTTAAAGATGGGCAGATGAAAAGACATCAAGAAGAAATTTGCTGCCTTACTGAGGAGCATCACCAAATGCTACTATCTGTACACATCCCTACTGCATGTGTTTGCCGTCATAGACACACGAAGACATTCAGCTCTATGTGATTTCTCATATCTCATAGAGTCAATAAATTTTAGAATTTGAGAGGCCATGAGAAATGATCTAGTCTCATTCTTCATGTTACTGTTGCAGAAGCTGAAGCCCAGCAYTAATAAATATCTTGGCCAGGATGACACACCTGGAAGATTTAGGACTAGAATCCACATCTTTCAGTTCTTTGTTCTGGTTCTTCCCATATACCCGGTTGCTTTTTGCTTCATAGAAGAGAGGAAATACTTTAAAATCACATTTAAAAGGAGAATTCAGCTAAGATGCTATATAGGAAATAGTATTTCAGAACAAGAATAGTGAAGGAAACGAAAAAAGGGGAAACTGTTGTAAGCTGGAACTCTTACTTCATCATCTTCGTGAGGCCCATTTCCACCCTTACAGTAGTCATAATTGCTTAAGGAGCCCGTTTTGGTACTTTCTACTATCATAAGATCTCAATTCAACTTGCAGTCATTACTGCATGTTTAGCATATTCTCTGCTTAGGATTTGTTTAAATTGGTACAGCGATTTCTGTCAAGCTGTGTAAAACTAATCAGATATAAACTTTCTCCATTTTCCTTGGCTAATTTGATAGTCACAAATTTCACTCTAGGGAGAATATACTCTCGGCTTTTTAAAGAGAAGTCATGATACAGGATATTGGTTCAAGAGAGGTGATTTTAATACAAGTACACAGGAAACTTACACAATGTTCTGGAGGCAGGCCCATATCTGTATCGTACCCCATATACTGATCCAAGTGCTTTCACTGCTTTATAAGCTGCAGATTCCTAGGAGGGGAAATGAAGAAGTTATATCACTTACATCGTTACACTGAAACTTCTAGAAACACTGGCATGTTGCTTAAGGCTTCTGGGCCACCAACACAAAGAATAACGATGGGTACATCAGTTATTATTAATATTTAATAATATTATATTGTTCATGTCACAAGATACGTGTCACAAGATACATTTGCAACATATTTTAGAACACATCATTTCACCTGATTGATTTCACAACCAACTAGAGATCGATAGTATTTCTATTTTACAGATAAGAAAAGGAAGGCTCAGTGAAATTACACGTGTATCCTGAAGTTACATAGCAAAAGTGGAGCTGGGATAAGTACCCATATTTTCTGAGCTGATGTAGTGTCCTGTCCTTTTCACTTTTGTTCAGGGACATCTCTTCTATAAATTACAAAATGTTTGACAGAGGAAGGATAATGTCAGTCTTAATCATAGATCATATCCGATCCTTCACAATGTGCTTGTGTATAACAGATGCTTAATCAATATTTCTCATATGAATGTTGAATAAGCATAAGTCTGCAAGAGTACTTAGACAACTATATTGATTCTTAAGCATATATTTCAGTGGATATGTACAAGGTATTTAAAGCACATCTGGATCAATTAGGAAACCATCAAGCAAGAAAGACCTCTATTACGCGATGTGTTTATCCTTACTGGGATGAGAACATCAATTTCAGAGTTCTTCATGACTTCTAAGGTTACTCAGACTCTCACAGGCTTAGTTAGGTACTGCTATGATGCAGAAATTCTAAGGTGGAACTCTTTCTAGTAGGGAAAAATACTCAACCCAATCAAAATCCTAAAAGGCGGATATTCAAACACAAGTGAGACTGATATTGAATGTCCTTGAAAACATTTTCAAATGATATAAAAGCACTAATTTGAACCAGGAGTTAGGAAAGTATTGTATGACAAGTGAGAGGAAAAGAAGCATGTTGAAACCAGTACAAAACTCTCCTGTTTCAATTTGCCTATGAATAATTTAATATTTTAATTGAAGAACTCTAGATAACATGGTAGTGTGTGTTGGACTGAGCTTCAGGCTGCTGTCCTCATTCAGCTCAGGGATGAATAAAGCAGTATTTGCAGCAAAGGCCACCCTTTGTGGATATTCAGGGACCAGGCTTCAGGAACTGGCAGACTATATATTATTGATCTCACTGATGATGGCATTCTTCTCATAGGAGCCAACAGAAAAGGAATGTAAACACCATAATGAGGTATCTTTATGGAGAATGTTCTAAGATTTTAACATCTCCAGTGATCTTAGCAATATTCCATGGCAAGAGCAGATATTTTTACATTTAGAAAATTACTGCATTTTGCTGGTCAGGAGACTTTTGTTCCTCATTATTTCAGATGACTAAACCCATGGAAAACATCTATTACAGAAGAGAGAGAGAGAGAGAGAGAGAGAGAGAGAGAGAGAGCCAGCCACTTTGCCTGTATACACAAAGCTTATGTATGGTATTAAAATTTGACTCAATGTATTTCTGTCATTTGAGTACAGGTGCAAGTTGATTAGGGGTTTGGATATGCTCTATCTATAAAAAGTGGAAATTTCATCAATTTTTCCCCCAAGAATTATTTTTCAGGGAGGCACAGCTAGATACCTATTTGAAAGAATAAAGTGATTCCTTCTTTCCCTTCTCTCTGATTGTCCAAAAGGACCTCAGTCTTGCTTATTGGTCCTCAGCTAAGTAAGGAGTATATATATTTTTCAAATATTTCCATATTTAAAGCAACTTGATGAATGTGTTAAAATATTATCAGAAACAATGACTCAGACTGATAAAATGTTTTGAACAATTTTGATAAAATTTAATGGCTTCTGGTTAATATAGAGGTATTGCCTAGTTTGAGAATTTTTAATCTTAGTTTTAGTGATTTAGATTATATTTAACTGCCTTAAGGATTTCTCAACAATAGCACTATTGACTTTTGGGCTGAATAAATCTTTGCTGTGGGGGGGTAGGATGTTTGGCAGGCAGTATCTTGGCCTCAACCCACCAGATGCCAAATTGCATCTTCCATTGCTGTTACAATGAAAAATATCTCCAGACATTACTGAACATCCATTGGGAGGCAGATGCATTCTTTGTTGAAAACCATTGATCTACTCTATGCCACATCCACCAATTCAAGACAAAACTAAAATAGGCTAAACTCATGATGGGAAGTTACATTTAAAATATTGATAATATTTCTCATCTCATAATTTTATATTTTGCATAGTTCATATCATCTGTTATAAGAATATAGACACTGTGCCCAAAAAGGGCTAAACATAATATACAAATGGCTGGTTGGGAGCCAGGTCACTATAAACAAAGGTGTAGCAGCAGCAATAACAAAAAGAAAGACTATTTGACCCACAGAGCAGCTGAAGAATAGTACTGTAGAGTATAATTATTATCCTTACAATATTTCTAAACAGAAGTAATTTGCTCAGAATTCTTGGAATGCCAAGAACAAAGTCGCCTTTCGATGAAATAAAAGGTTTCCTTTGCTCTCTCAGGTCCCCTACTTCTTCTAGGGCTTGGACATCTAAATTAGGAATTCCTGAAACTCCAAGCAGTTTGTATAGTATTTGAAGTTTAAGGTATAAGGAAAAAGGAAATGCTTATCTTTCAAAAAATTTTCATTCAAGTATATATATGAAAGTAACACAATAAAAATTATTTGGTCTTTATCCCTGGTTCCTGACATACAGCTCCTAAAACCCTTGGTGTCCAGAATAAGAGTGTCCTTTACATACTAGTGTGATGATTGGTGGCTGAGCCCCCCAGAAAATTTCAGGTTAGGGGCTAGTACCAGAAAGCCATGCAACCAGAGGGTTGGCAATTTCAACTGTATTTCGTAGCCTCTGAAGAAGGGAGAATGTCCAGAGACTGAGTTCAACCACCAATGTGCCTATGTAATGAAATCCCATAAAGTTCCCTATAAAATGGGAGAACTTCAAGGTTGGTGAGAACAATTGGAGAGCTAATAAGGTGGTGCCCCTGAGGAGCTAAGGAATCTCTGTGGCTCCCTGCCTCTATCCTACACCTTGTCTTATGCAGCTCTTCCATGTGTCCTTCCTGAACTGTGCATGTTATAATAAACTGACAATAGTAAAGTACTTTCTTGAGCTTTTTCTAGCGAATTATCAAAACCAAGGAGTGGGTGGTGGGAACCTGGAGCTCTTTAGCCAAGTTGGACAGAAGAGTGAATAAGTTGAATACCTACTGCTTGTAGCTGATGTTTGAAGTAGGAACAGTCTTATGGAACCGAGTCCTTAACCTGTGGAGTTTGATGCTAATCCTGGGAGGTAGGTGTCAGAACTGAATCAAACTGGACACCCAGTTGGAGAAGTGATGTTGGAAAAGACACCACACATTTGGTGTCAGGAGTTAAAACCCCTCAAACATACATAGTGAAGAGCACACAGATTTTAATTTCATAGCACAACAAGTGATCCCAAATTGAATACATTCCTGTAACCACCATCTCAGGTCAAAGAATAGACCGTAAGCATTTAACCAGGCAACCCCCGTGTCTCCTCTCAATCACTGAACCCCTCCTCTTTCCCCAAAGGTCATTGCTAAACTGAATTCTAACACTATTTATTAGTTTTTCTTGGTTTTGAACATTATAGACCTTTAGATGCTAGAGGGTCTAAAATGAACTCATTTTACAATGTATTATGCCCTGTAGGGGATCGTCTGTTGGGTTTCTGAGATAAGGAGTAAGAGAATGCTGCTTTTTCATTTTCAAGTAATCTTATGCCTGAAAGTCTGTTCATTCTTAGTACTAACTTGTCAGATGCATGCCCAGAGACTTAGTAGCATTAAGCAAATAGCACTTATAAATTAAAACTTGCTTTTAATTAATGAGAGTCAGACTATAATTTATGAACAATTATTGACTCAATAAAGTTAATTACAGCCCTGCATATGTGACCAAAGCTGTAATACTAATCAAATCCATCCTGACCTTTTCAGTATAGCCTGTGGTAAGAATGTAAATAGGCTTGAAATGACTGCATTTGAGAAGCAGTATGGTGGTTAAAAACAACAACTCTGAAGCTAGACTTAGGCTGAATGCTGACTATGATGTTTAGTAACTATGTATGCTTAGTGTAATTACTTAACCTCTCTGGGTTTCAGTTTTCTTATCTGTAAAAATTGGGATAAGAAACCTTATGAAGAATAAATGAGTTAATATATGTAAACAAATAGTTTAGAATAAACACAATATGTGTTTGCTGTTACCACTAGCACTTAGCATCAGAAAGGAAGCATGAAGTCTGAAACACGTATAAAGGGTCAAATACTTACCACACAGCTAAAATTGGGGATTGTTGCGTATTTGTAAGAATAGGGATACAATAACATCTGAGCATATGCATGAAAGGAGAGGTAAGCCCGAATGTGCTTTCTGTGTTTTCGGAGGAAGTTAGCTACAGCCTTCACTTCTGGTTCAGATTCTGGGAAAGGGCCACAGTAGGTATCATCACAAGGGTGCATAGAGGCCCCTTCATCTGCAAGTCAGAAAAGAAAATGGGATTGGGGAGCAGGCAAGGAAGAAGCAAGAAACACAAATCAGCATTGTTAAACTGTGATTTTTTTAAATTTATTTTTTATAAACATATGGTGTTATTAAGCAATTTATCTAATTTCTTATTTATAGAAATCAATGCTAAAAATTCTGAGGTGATTCAAGCCTCCATGAACAAAGGAGGGTCTGAGTGGGAACCAAGTGATGATTGCTAACTAAACCTGCAATAACTACTTTTAAAGAGATGGCTGTCTCTGTTTTCAGGAGGACTAATTCTATATAACCCCCGGAGAAGGCCTACTATTAAGATATGCTTCACAACACCCGGACCTTTTTTTTCGTAATATTCAACACACATGTAATTAGTGTTCATCATTTACTCATTTACCATTCAATTGATGTTTATTCTATCATAGATACCTGGGATACATTATAAGCAACACAGAAAAAAAATCCCTGCTTTCATTGAACCTGTATTCTATCTAGATTCTTGCTGGATGCTAATGCTTTATGAAGGCAGGCACTGTGTCTTTCTTGCTGGCACCTAGCAGCAAGAACAATAACATGAAAAGTGTTCTACAAACACTTGTTGAGTAAGTCAATGTCAGATCAAAAGGACAGACATCTATAAAAGTGTCCAAACAAATATTGATATAGCAAGAACATGAAGGCCAGCCAGAAATAATTCTGAAGAACATATGTCTAATTTCTACCATATTTTTAGATCAGTAATCTCCAAATTGGTTTATAAAACCCAAGAGGCTTCTCTAGTTATTTCCAAATTGGTTTATAAAACCCAAGAGGCTTCTCTAGTTATTTCGTAGTTTAGAAATATTTAAAACTACATTTTAATGATATTTAAATTAGAAAAAGCCTTCCAAATAGGGGAAAACTTACTAACAGTTTTATGGAGGGGACAGAGGAAAATAAGAATCACTTTAGTAATCATCAAGCATTATGGTTCTAAGAAATTTTAAAAGTGACATTTTCTGTAGTTATTTGCCATTCTGGGCCATTACTACGTCTCCTCTACCTCTAGAAAATAATAACTCTCTCCATAAACTAACAGAAAATTCTTGGTGGTTCTGTAAGATGGTCCAGTTCTACTGAATGTGAGAAGAAAAGCAAGACAAATTGGCTGGATCTTGAAGACACGAAGAGTGATTCAATTGGAGAAAACTGTGGAGAGAACTAGGCAGCCCATCTGACTCCTCTGAAGTCTATAATTGAAGCCGTGAGAGGACAGCTGATGAGAGTTCATCAGTGAGGTGAGTGACAGAGGAAATGTGCCCAGACACAATACTGGACAGTCAGAGACTTGGAGGGACTTGGAAATTCTGGAAACTGGGACAGAAAATAGGAAAGAATTTGTTAACCTCAAATCCTGACCAGAGTGGGCTGAAGGGAGGGGTAACAGAGAAAAAGAGAGAGAGGCAAAGTTGGCAAGCTAACTTCAGAAACAGGAGAAAAGAAAGCCAGATCAAATTAAGCCAGAGCAGGAGCTGAAAAGCCATTTAGTGAGTGAGACGTGCACAGCTTATCTAAAATTGCTGGTGGAAAATGGTGCTGGGCAGCCATCCTGTAGAGACCACACCTAAGACTGCCCTCTTAGAAGGAATTAAATCTATATAGCTTCATTCCATTTACAGATGGCAGCGAATATTATCATAGGCAGTACCTTTGAAATGGTTGTCTCAGTAATCTGTAGAGGGATCGCTGCTAGCTGAAGGTTGCCAAGCCCCATTCTCCGACTCCAGGCAAGAGGAGGAGGGTGGAGCAGAACAGAGGGTCACTCTAAAGGTATGTAGCACCATGGGAGCAGCAAGTGCCCCAGCTGCTGGCCAGAGATCCATAAGGTGCAGCAAATCTACCTGGATCACAATAGTGCCAGGTGCCCCACAGATGCTGGCCTCTGCCAAGTATGCCCAGACATGGGCCCGATAACAGTGTGTCCTGTCAGCTGAAAAAGCCATGAAACCCCCAGTATCCAGCAGAAACCTCCTATTATGGCCTTAGCAGTGCAACATGCCCCCCCCACACCACCACAGGTGGCCTGCAGACTTGAGCTCCCCAGTCAATGATAAGCATGCCCAGATGCTGCCCACTGACATGTATGAACCAGTTTGGGGCAGCTGCCCTTGCCTCCAACAGAGCACCCAGTACTACTATTGCTGGACTGCCATACCTTTACCATAGGGCACCAAACTCCACAGTACCCTGAAATCTACACATGTGAGTTCATACCTGTTTTGACAAATCTGGGTACATGAAATATTTCTATGGACTATATTCCCAACCAGGGAGAGACCTGACTTTTAAGCCACAGGAAATTAGGGGTTGTGTCCTTTGACCCTCCAGAAAGTTATCAGATGCTTACACACACCAAAAAATAAAGGGAGACTCTTAGATTTAAATCAGAAGTGGGCTGGTAAGTTTGCTACCACATGCCCAGAGAAATACAGAGGTAAACCTGAGGAGTATGAGTATTAACTAAGCCTCCCAAAACTGGATGGAGTCCAAATCAGGGAAGACTAATAAGTCTCTTGATCCCAAATAGCTCAACATGGAATAACGCTTTAATGTCAGTTATTGATTTGACAGATATTATCTTGTGTATTGATTCGATGGGTCACCTTTATTATTTGAAAATATATTCCTTAATCCAATTTTATGTATTTCTTTTAATGTTTCAAAGCATTATTTAGAATTATTCTTTCTCACTTTTCCTTCTGGTTCACAAGTATACTCTCAACTTTTGTTTCTCTTTTTTCCCTTGTATCACCTCCATTTCTATCCTCCCACTTATTTTTTTTTTATTTTCTGCTTTTTTCTTCTTCCTGTTAATGCTCTATATAATTTAATAGTAATTTTACTTTCTGTAATGCTTAATTTCTCAGGATATTCTAAATCATAATTCTCATTTTGCACGTGGAGAAGTTTTAAAAGGGTTACTAGTATGGTTCTTGGTTCTTAAGTGGCCCCAGTTGCTGGTGATTATTACCTCTCAAAATGGAGCAAGAGACTAAATAGAGCAGTGAGATCACATTGAGTGAAAGTGTTGACACTTAGATATTTGCCCAGCCTGGGGCATACAGTAGGACAAAAACAGGTTACTAAAATGTCCCTCATATAACAATAGAAGAAATAATCATCTCAGCAGATGTGCAAATATCAACATAGAAATATGGTAATATAAAACTACAAAGTAATAAGATACCCCCCAAAGTTTATAACACTTCAATAATTGATGCCATAGACATCAAAGCGGAGGAAATGTTGGATAAACAATTTTAAAAGATGAGTGGTAAAGTGTCTATGGACAGATACCACTGAAACTGTGAGTCCCCGAATAAACTGTTCCTCTTCTGCAATTGTTCTGGTCAGGTCCTTTGGTCACAGTAGTGAAAAACCTGACTAAAACAGAAATTGGTACAAAGAAGTGGGGTTGTTGCTGTGACTAATCTGCCCATATAGTTCATAAGCACTTTGAGCTTTTTGAAATTAATGGGAGGAATTTTGAGATGCTTAGCAGTTGAAAATGCTTTAGATTGTTGTAGTGCTTAATGGCTGATTCTGATGGGAGCTCAGAAGACCAGAAAGCCAATAGGACTATGGACAGTGAAGACAGAGGGTTCAGAGGAAAAGGTGGACAATATTGGTAACTGGACTAAAGGCCTTTATGTTATGTTCTGACTGAGAAGTTGTCTACATTTTGCCCATGTCCTGAGACTTTCTGTGAAGCTAATTTTAAAAGTGATGGGCTTTTGGTGGAAGAAAAAGTTTAGGCAGCATAGCATTCAGGTGGTGGCATGGATATTGCTGGAAGCTTTTAGTCAAATTTATTGTGATAATAAGGAGCAGAAAGCAGAGCAGAAAGATTTGAAAAACTCGGACTTGAAAGGTGGGAGTAAAACTGGGGCTGAGAAAGTTGCAGTTATTAAAGACTTTACTGTCACTAAAGAAATGTTAAAGGCTTTGCCCAGACACAATGAGAAAGATGGCTTCAGGGCATCTCAGGAGCTGGCAAGACCATACCCATTTCAGACTAAAGGAAGTAAAGGTAAAAAATTCTCCTGATAAAGAGACCAGTGGGGCACTCTTCTTGCACAAAAGGACCTAAAAAGTTTTTTTCAACTTGCTCAGCCATCCAGGCAGTTGGAGGCTGATGCAGCCCAGGGTCCCTGGAGGCTTGGCTACTGCTCAAGATAGTGGCAGACATTGGTGTCAACCTCTTCAGGAATGCTGGAAATAGGGGGTTGAGGAGACTTTCACCAAGATTTCAAAGGAAGGCCTGGGAGGCCCAGAAAAGTTCAGCAAGGTTGGAGTCCCTGTGGGAAGCCCTGGAGAGGGCAATGTGAGGAGATGTAAGGAGGAAGCTGAAGCTGCATTGGAGACCTCCAAGATTAAGAACTATCAGTAATGTGGGACATCATCCTAGGAAAGCTGCAGGAACTGAGCAGAGACAAGCCAACAGAAAGGCCACTTAGGCTGCAACCAATAAGACCACAGGGGTAGAGCTACACAAGTCCTTTGGAGAGAACATCATGATGCCATATACTCCAGATGCAGGACACAGAACTACAGGACTTGTTTTCCCAGCTGGATTTCAGTCTTGCTTTGGTCCCAACTCTTCTTTCTATGACTCTGGATACTTGTAAATTGCTTTTAAATTTTATAGGAGCTCAAAATGTGAGATTGCCTTGAGCCTCAAAAAGATTTTAGACTTGAACAGTGAGCAATGTCAGAACTGTTGAGACTATAGGGACTCTTGGGAATGGACTAGATGTATTTATAATACTAGATGTATTGCATTGTTAGATGAGTGTGAGCTTTTGGAGGCCAGAGGTGGAATGTTATAGCTTGGGTGTGAGGTGTCTCCCAACAGTTCACAAGTGAGATAATGCAAGAAGGTTCAGAGAAGAAATGACTGGGTTGCAAGAGCTTTAACTCAATCAGTGAATTAATCACCTGATGGGATTAATT